TTTTAAATCAAATTGAAAACTGCAAAACAAATGAAGCATTCTTTAATAAAGCAAATTTCAATGTAATTGTTTTTTTTAAAACATGTCAAAAACATTCATGTTTAAAACATGAATTATTTTTTATATGTCAACTTCCTTTACTTTTTTTTTTTAAAGGCAATTCACCCCAAGCACGGCGGGAGTGCCACTAGCACTCAAGGGGTTACAGAGGATTGAGAACAAGAGTAAAAAGGCGTGTTTGAGGAATAGATACAGAGAAGGACGGGGAACAAGCTCAGGGTGTCAGATGTCGATTGACATTAAACTTGAATATTTGAAGATTATAGTCATCGGGGAAGCAAGTAAGAGGAAGGGAGTTCCACAGGTGGGATGTGCGGGAAAAGAAGCTGTTTGAGAAGATGAGACGGTTACATTTAACCGTTTTGACAGTGAAAGGTTAGGACCGAGATGCCAGCCTGGTAGCACGTTTGAATTCATGCAGTCCGGGAACCAGCGAATGTATCTCGTCGGAACAGTTGCCGTAAAAATATTTGTAGAAGAGACAGAGGGAGACCACAGCACGTTTGTGGGATAGCGACTGTAGACTAGATGACGGATCATGACTAATATAAACCGAAGAAAAAATATTCACTAATTAAGGTTTTAATGATAGATAAATTTACTTTGATATATATATATATATATATATATATATATATATATATATATATATGTGTGTGTGTGTGTGTGTGTGTGTGTGTGTGTGTTCTTCTGGTGCTGAGTTGTCTCGGTCCTGAGTTGTTCCGGCGCTCTGTCGGCGGTGTTGAGTTGTGTCGGCGTTTAGTCGATGGTGTTGAGTCGGTGGTGTTGAGTCGGCGGTGTTGAGTCAGCGGTGTTGAGTGGTCCTGCACCCCCTCATATGCCCTTGTCTGCCATCCATTTACAAAAGCTAGCTAGGTAGCTTTTGTAAATAACTACAGTCTGTCCTGTGAGTATCAAATTTTCCAACCCCTCTTTCCTCGTTATGTGCCCTAGAAATTTCAACTGTCTCCTTCTGATGAAAAAGTATGAGAATCCTTTCTATTTCCATGTTCTCCAGATCTTTGCCTTTGATCACATGTCCAGTTCATGGTATGCTCAGCATGCGCCTCTCGAAGCACATTTTTGTTGCCTCGTCTCTTCTTCATCTGGGAGGAGACTGTCCATCATTCACTGCTATACAAGACAACTGATATTACGTAACTGTTCAGTGATGTTTTTCTTTCTAATGAAATTTTCCTGTTTCTTAATACTTTGCTTAGCTTTTGGAAAGCAATTTCCGCTATTCCATCCGTCTTCAGATTTCAGTGTCGCATTTTCCTTCTCATGTTAAAACACTTATCACATAATTAAATTAGCATTGTTTGATTTTGGTATCTCGAAATTGAAATTTACATCTTGGGGCATTCATCTTTCAAACAACCACGCATTCTGCCTTCTTGCAGTTGAACTTTGGTCCCTTCTTCTCGCTTTCCTTTACTCCTCTCGTGTAGGAATTATTGTAGGTTTCTTCCTGTGTCTGAGATAAACACTGTGTCATATGCATATTTTTTTTTAAGCGTTTCACCCCAAGCAAGGCAGGAAGCCACTAGGACGCAAGGGGTTACAGAAAAATTTGGAGCAAGATCAGATAGGAGTGATAGAGGAAAGGATGAGGAGAAGGATAGTGGATAGATCAAGGCAACTGGAGATGTCGATTGACATTACAATTGAATACAACTACTCTAAACCAAACATCCAAGATAATAATGTTCTTACGTGCTCTGTAAAATGTGTGCGATCTTAGAGATTGTTCTTTTCCAAAAAATGCTCATTGGAAAATGTCCTGAAACCTTTTTCTGACCTTAGGTCTCTGGTTGGGACTCGGAAGAAAATGAGTTTTTTTTAAGCGTTTTACCCCAAGCAAGTCGGGAAGCCACTAGGACGCAAGGGGTTACAGAAGATTTGGAACAAGATCAGATAGGAGTGATAGAGGAAAGGATGAGGAGAAGGATAGTGGATAGATCAACGCAACTGGAGATGTCGATTGACATTACAATTGAATACAACTACTCTAAACCAAACATCCAAGATAATAATGTTCTTACGTGCTCTGTAAAATGTGTGCGATCTTAGAGATTGTTCTTTTCCAAAAAATGCTCATTGGAAAATGTTCTGAAACCTTTTTCTGACCTTAGGTCTCTGGTTGGGACTCGGAAGAAAATGAGTTTTTTTTAAGCGTTTTACCCCAAGCAAGTCGGGAAGCCACTAGGACGCAAGGGGTTACAGAAGATTTGGAACAAGATCAGATAGGAGTGATAGAGGAAAGGATGAGGAGAAGGATAGTGGATAGATCAACGCAACTGGAGATGTCGATTTACATTACATTTGAATAGTTGTAAATTATAGCTCTCAGGGAAACAGGAATAGGGAAGGGAGTTCCACAGGCGAGAGGTGCGAGATATGAAGCTATTGGAGTAGAAGAGACGGCTACATTTAATAGTTTCAACAGTGAAAGGGTGAGAGCGGGATGCCAGCCTCGTAGGGCGCTTGAATTCATGAAGTCTGGGAACCACCGAATGCAGCTCCTCTTATAATGTTAAAATTGTGGCCGCTAACAATGCATCCTGGTAGAAAGTTTAATTCTCTCAGAATCAAATTGTATGGATTGAATAAATCCGGAGAGGAGGTATCCTTGTCTTAAAACCCTTTCTATTTTTGTATATTTACTGAGTTCATTTTCTATTTCTTTGCAGGTATTCTGCTCGCTAGTATAGGGCCTGGATTAATCTAATTCCCTATCAAAATAGAGCCATATGAATACGTACTAATGCATTTAATCCTTTCACACAATTCAAGGAGATAATGCCACTAAGACGCAAAAGCTTACTAGAAATGTGTAGAAAGAAAGATAGACGTTGCATTTAATTTTTTGATGACTGACCGTGGCAGGTTGGAAGAAAATTCGGAAAAACCTACGCTAGGCGGGCCGCCGATGGTAACGAACGTCAGCGGTCCTCTGATAACAGCCACCGGTGGGCTACTAGAGGTCCGCCAGTAGTAACATTGCCGAGACGAACACGCCGGCGATCCGGCAGCGGGCCACCGTCGGTAAACGCTAGTGGCATGCCAGCCAGTGGCAGACTGATGGCTTGCCTTGTAGGGGACACTGGCAAGTGAGAAGGGAGAGAGAATCAAACTGTAAGAATAGACCTTATGGTTATCATTTAGATATTTCAAGAGCAATACTACTAAAACCAGAAGACGATCTAGTAAAGAGTACCCTCAAATTCATGCGTTCGAGGTACCAAGGAGGAAAGGTTATGAAAAATAGTTATGAAAATCGTTGTGGAATCCGAGATAAAATCCGGTCCCCAATGAATGACAAACGCAGGAATGAAATATAACAAATAAATGTATTTACACAATAATACAATTGGTAATACGGTTAGTAGATCCAGAAACGCGGTTAGTAGCAATAATAATAATAATAATATATATATATATATATATATATATATATATATATATATATAGTCTAGTAAATCCAGTCTCGAAGTTCATGAACAAAAGAGACACTATATCAAATGGTGTTACCAGGCATTATTTCTGTTTGGTAACTGTTGTGGATTCCGAGATGAAATTCGGTCTTCAATGAATGACAAACGCAGGAATGAAATACAACAAATAAATGTATTTACACAATAATACAATTGGTAATACGGTTAGTAGATCCAGAAACGCGGTAGTAGCAATAATCATACTTATTATAAAATCCAGGTTGTTTGTTTGTTTGTTTGTTTGTTTGTGTGTGTGTGTGTGTGTGTGTGTGTGTGTGTGTGTGTGTGTGTGTACGTTTATATATTAGATCAGAATAATATATATATATATATATAGTCTGGTAAATCCAGTCTCGAAGTAGGACTTCCTTAGAGTCTACGTTCTTGTAACTGTGACTTCTACAATCGGTTACCTCACACTATTACTCTACCTCCAACTCCATCACAATCTCTGCTTTGACTGACTCTGGGTATTTAGCGGCAGCAGTCCAAGTACACACTGGTAGAGTCCACTTGTATGAAAAAGGAGTGGACCCCATAACAAAAACAAAGCGTAGTCACGTAAGTGCGGGTGTAGTGGTGGGAGGGGTTAAAATAACTGGAGCCGAGATGCCAGGTCAGCACCGATAACATTACAGACGCTACTTTGGATGTTATCAAGAATCTCGAGATGCAGTCTAAGAACACTAGACCAGATATGACAGCGGTATTCAATGCATGGCCGAATGGCGGTTTTGAAAATGTGCAAGATTATGACGCCAAACACTTGATAGGCAAATCCAATTACCGGCCTTGACAAGGTTCAAAGTCGTTTACATTGTCTTGTTTACATTGTCTTGTCATATTAGATGACGTGGGGCGATTATGGCTCACAAAAATTTGTTATATTTTGTTGCTCTTAGCAATGTTGGTCTTTCCATTATCTTTCCTCCATTTTGACACGTCATCGACTTACACATGCTTCTTCCATTGGTTACTTGTGGTTTACATTTTCCAAGTCTTTTCTTTCCCGGTATGTGTCCAACGGTGAAACTGTGGAGTAATGGATTGAGGAAGCGGAGAGGCGAGTTCGAGTTCCAGTCGAATCCATTAAATTCACTTACATGCTAATACCCTTGTGAAAGGTACAAATCCTCTTCTTCTCCCTCCAGCTATGGGTAAATAGCAGGACAGACAAGGTTCTTGGATGCCAACTGATCTACCGCAGAAAGAAATGGCTACTGCGGGGAAAAAAAAATTTGCTTCGTCAGTCATGTATCGAAAGATATATGATCGCCTAAGAGTGTATCACGCATGGCACATAATTGACTGACTGACGTGCTAATACCCTTGGGAAAGGTATGAATCCTCTTCTTCTGAAGCTATGAGTAAATGGCAGTGGAAAACCTGGTTCTATAGCCTTGGATGGCAACCGGTCTACCGCAGAAAGAAATGACAACCAACTGCGGGAAAAAAAATCTGCCTCGTCATAGATAGATAGATAGATAGATAGATAAGGAATAGATAGGTAGATAATTAGATTGCTCAAAACAGTACAACAGAGAAAAACAGATTGAAATAGACAATAATACACATAGTTATATAATGAATAGATTCAGATAGATAGATAGATATGTATATATATATATATGTATATATATATATATATATATATATATATATATATATATATATATATACACGTATATATACACATATATATAGAGAGATAGAGAGACAGAGATATAGATAGACAGCAATAACAAATTAAAAAACAGATTGAAATACACAATAATACACATAGTTATATAATGAAAAGATTCAGATAGATAGATAGAGAGATATGTATATATACATATATATACGTATATATATAGTGAGATAGAGACAGAGATATAGATAGACAAAAGTGCACAGATAGTTAAACAATGAATAGACACAGATAGATAATGAATAGACACAGATAGATAATGAATAAACTTAGCTATATAAACAAATGCATAAAAACAGATAAATGTTCGAGCGAGCTTTGTATGTAAAAAAGAATATATATATATATATATATATATATATATATATATATATATATATATATATATATATAAACTCTATAGTGTAAGAAAAAATGTACAAACAAACGAAAACTTTGCAAACGTAATATTATATGGTTTAACTCGCCCTTCAACAAAAAACGTTAAAATTAAATTTTTCGGGAAATTTACTCCATAAGCACTGCAGTCATCCCCATAAACAACGCTTAATAAGATTTTCAACAAAAACAATATCAAATTTTTCAAAGTTATGCTAAAAACATCGATCAGTATATAGCACAGCACAAATGTTCTTTTCTAAACAGATACTTCAACAACCTTCAAAATAGCAACATCACCACAACTAATAATTGCAACTGCAGAAAAAACAAACTCTGCCCATTAAACAGCAAATGAATGTCTAAATCATTAGTTTCTAATGCTGAAATCAAATATGACAACGAGGCCAAGTTTTATGTTAGCTCTACGGAAAACCATTGGAAATCGCACTTCTACCACCACATTAGGCAGTATCAAATATAGTAACACACACTGCCGTCTCTACATTTTTCTGGAAACTGAAAACGAGAATATAAACCAAATCAGCACCTAAGAACCAGTAACGAAAGGTAAATCCTTCAACGGGAAAGGAAACAGTTGTAAACTATGTCTTTAAAATTAATAATCCTGAAAAATATAAACAATTCTAATATTTTAAACAGTGAGATAATGAACACCTGTTTACCTAGATCCAAATTTCTATTCAAACACGTTGACCCAGATTAGTCTAGTCTAGCCAGATCCGGGAGCCATATATACTAGTATTGATATTATTTATTTTTATTAATATTTTTACTTTTTTACTATACAACTATTGTTAATATTAGACTGTAACGCATTTAACTTTTTGCTAATCCATTATTTCCATTATCTTATCCCTATCATATTTTATTATTACTGTTTTGTTTTTTTCTCCTGCCTTTAGTCTTAATATTAGTAACATGTTTATTAGCTTATTTATTTTTGCATTTATTATTTTTATTGATTTATTTGCTTTATTTATTTGCTTATTTACATATTTTTCTATTTTAATATATTTTACTTTCATTAATATGTATTATTTTTCTTCGTACTTTAATTTTATTTTATCATAACATATTTTATTATTATTATTGCTGTCACTATTCTTATTTAGTTTATTAATGTTAACATTAATAATATTATTAATTAGATGATTGATTTTCATGAGTTCCCCCAACCCTTGACTTTCATATGTTTTTCTTATTCATTTGTTTTCATTACAATACTGTCTCTTCAAATAAGAATTTATTATTCATATTTCCAACCTTACTTTCAATCTAAAATGCTAATCTGGGTACAAAATATTTCAAATCCAAAATTAAACTACAATTCATTTAAATATTTTAAGTACAATAATAAGCCACACCGACAATAAAATATTTCGTGATAAACTGAAATATTATAGAATGAAGAACGTATGAAACTCAGACTTGTGAAATCAATGTAAGATATTATGCATATTTCTTAATATATACATACATACATACATACACACAAACACACATATATATATATATATATATATATATATATATATATATATATATATATATATATATTAGGCTACAAAGATAAATTGAAAGACAACTTGAAAAGTCCCAACCGCGATCAGCTTCGTCAAGACCTGAAGCAGAGACGCCATCAAAATCCTGCTTTAACAAATTTCATCTGTCAGTGTGGCTTTGATGTCCGAATCAAGGCTGAGCTGGTAGCACACTTAAGAAAGCAAAAATGTAATATGTCTTTCCCTTACCTGATTTTCTCCACAGTAGCCTCTGCTAGCATTCATAAGTGTAAAATGAAAGGCACCATCCAGTGCTGACCCTCATTCAGGTTCACGATAGGAGAGTCCACTATATATATATATAGAGAGAGAGAGAGAGAAAGAAAGAGAGACAAAGACAGAGAGAGACTCGCTCATTTAAACCGTTATTTAACTCCTCTCTTTAAAACTTATCCCTGTTAAATTTTAATCCCCACCTTCACTTTAAGGCCTTTCATGTTCTTCTTTCTTCTGTTACACCCCTGTCTAAAGCTTTCATACATCTTACTTTCAAACTTGTTTCCCACGCCCACATATACTCTCACTAAAATTTTGTTTTTTTTTATACCCGGAGTTATATTTTCCGATTTCTTTTTGAATTGGATCGTGATTACGATTCCAATATAATAAATTATAACCATGGAATAATAATGTTTGAGTTTGAGCCTTTTTATATATATATATATATATATATATATATATATATATAGAGAGAGAGAGAGAGAGAGAGAGAGAGTGAGAGTGAGAGAGAGAGTGAGAGAGAGAGAGAGAGCGCAACAGATAGGTAGACAGACAGATCCGAACATATGACAATAGAGAAAAAAACAGTCTGAATTATATACAAATAGATTTAGATAGACATATATAAGATAGATGGACAGATTGATAGCAAAAAACTTTCCGTTAAACACACACACACACACACACACGAGCATACGACAGAAATATCTTCTAGCAATACCGTCCACATAATGGTAAGGCATTTCATAGCTGGAGACGACATTGCCTCACTACCACCACGCAGCTAAGAGTTTACAATGCGTGAGATAATTCTGTGTTTATAATTTTGCATATATATATATATATATATATATATATATTTATATCATACTTATTATAAAACACAGGTTGTGTGTGTGTGTGTGTGAGTGTCTGTTCGTTTATATATTGGATCGGATTTCCTACATTTTTCAACCGATTTCAACAAAACATCATAGGACTACGTAAAATTACCTTGCGGTGGTTCTGACAGCGCCAAAAATTGGAAAAAATAATTGTTTTTGCACGAAACCAATTTGAAAACACGATTCTGTCGCCAGAATGAAAGGGGGACAATTCATATCGACTTATAATTATTATAAAACCCACGTTGTTTGTGTGTGTGTCTGTGTGTGTGTGTGTATGTGTGCGTGTGTGTATTCGTTTATATATGGGATCGGATTTCCTACATTTTTCAACCGATTTCAACAAAACTTCACTTTTTTTTGGCAGGTAGTGTTTCTTATTGTCTTGCACACTTTTTTTTTTTCTTTTATTTTACATTCAGAATGCTTTAAAAATTCCATTTACAAGACAATTGTTTATAATAAAATTCTATTCAATCGGTAGACTCATAACGATTGAAAACAATGTTTTTGTTTGAGTTTGGGTTTGACCAATTCGTAAAAAAAAAAAAAACTTATTAAGACATGCGTGTCCGTCAACCTTAAAAAATAATCTTTGTCAATTTTATTTTTCAGCCTTTATGATGGTCGATACTTGATCTATCTCTTACTGTTACATCCCCGGGCAACGCTGGTCTCTACTGCTAGTATATATACAAGTATAGGATTGGTGAATACGGAATAAATTCCAATAACCAAAAAATACTATTCTTAAAATTGGTCAATACAGAGTAGAGCAAATATAATTTATTCGAAAATTATAACATAAATATATTATTAAAATCACTACAAAAATAGCCATTTTGTTTCAACACTTCTGGTGTCTTATCAAGTGATGGAGTTGAATGTAGAATAAAGGGTTTTAAAAGTTCAAAACGACCAAACATCCCTCGCTAAGGGAAACGCTGTTACATAAGCTGCAATGACCAATCAAAATACATGTATGTGAGAATTCAAAAAACTTGACAACGAACTTCGGTTATAATAATTAATGCTGTAATGTTTGGTACGCGACAGAGAAGTTTCACCTATGACAGTCCATAGAACAGTGGATAAAGACATATTTTATGCATCGCTTTCCTCTCTCCCTCTTTGCCTTCAATTTATCCTGCGAGTGTCAAATTTTCCAAGCCTTCTTTCCTAATTATGTATCCTAGGAATTTTAATTTTCTAAAGCTATGTTTAAGTGTCGTTTTTGTTTGCATTTTCGCTAAAACTTCGTTGTTCACGTTTTCAACCCACGTTATTCTCAGCATGTTTCTGTAGAACCACATTGCAGTTATTTCAAGACTCCTGTTTATGAGTTCGGTGACATAGTGAATGTGTGTTCAATCCTTGGATAGCGCAGTGTGTACTTGGATTCAGTGGAAACTTGGCGAGCAGTTGTACTAAAAATAAGAACTAGACGGGATATCCCTAGACATAGGCAATAGAACAGTGTATACTTGGATATAGTGGAAACTAGGCGAGCAAGAACTGATCTGTACTAAAAATAAGACGAGACACCGCTAGACATGGGCAGTGGAACAATGAGTACCTCCAGTCAGTGGAAACAGGGCAAGCAATATTTGAGTTGTACTATAAATAAGATGCAGACTAAATCCCTAGACTTGGGCAGTTGAACGAGAACAGTCTACCCTCATAGATTAAATAACATATTTTGTTCAGAATTAGGTTACCCTTTTCGACATACATCTGGAGATGGTCGGAGTGCACGACAGTTCGAAACGTCGTGATGCTGAAATATTAAAATGGCTTCCCTCTGTCTTTTCTACAAATATTTTCATGATAACTGCTCTGAAAAAAATTTTCCCCTGCTTCCCTCGACGACATTAATTTAAACGTGCTACTAGATTGGCATCTAGGTCCCACCCTTTTATTATTGAAATAGTTAAATGTAACCGCCAATTCTACTCCAACAGTTTCTTTTCTCGCACTTCCCGCCTGTGGAGCTCCTTTCCATTCACTCGCTTCCCTGAAAATTACAAGCGTAAAAAAATTAAATGCAACGTCAATCGTCATCTTCTATCTTCTTAAATCCCGCTCATTTTTTATCCTTTCCTCAATCCTCTCCTATACCCAGTCTTTTCTCTCATTTTTATTCTCTATAAAGCCCTGGATACTAGTGGCATTCCCACCTTACTTGGGATGAAATGATAAAAAAAAAAAATAAGGAGAATAATTCAAATATAAAATAGTGTAAATTTGGCGGCTCATCGACCCGGTGTTATGCTTAACAAGCTTGTCCCGCTAAAACAATTACGCCTGAGTAGTGAGTTCAATCCACACTAGTTGCCCCGTGCATTCGGCCATGTGCTACATCTAACATGGTGTAGTAGTTAGTAACCTTGTCCCGCCAGAACAATTACGGCTCTGTAGTGAGTTCGGTCCTCACTGGGTGCCCCATATTTTCGGCCTTGTGCTTCATCTAAGCTGCGCTTATAAAATTATTTGAGCACAACGACATGGTGTAATATTTAGTAAGCTTGTCCAGCCAGAACAATTACGGTTCTGTAGTGAGTTCGGTCCTCACTGGGTGCTCCATATTTTCGGCCTTGTGCGTCATCTAAGCTGCGCTTATAAAATTATTTGGGCACAACGACATGGTGTAATACATAGTAAGCTTGTCCAGCCAGAACAATTACGGTTCTGTAGTGAGTTCGGTCCTCACTGGGTGCCCCATATTTTCGGCCTTGTGCTTCATCTAAGCTGCGCTTATAAAATTATTTGGGCACAATGACATGGTGTAATACTTAGTAAGCTTGTCCAGCCAGAACAATTACGGTTCTGTGGTGAGTTCGGTCCTCACTGGGTGCCCCATATTTTCGGCCTTGTGCTTCATCTAAGCTGCGCTTATAAAATTATTTGGGCACAACGACATGGTGTAATACTTAGTAAGCTTGTCCAGCCAGAACAATTACGGTTCTGTAGTGAGTTCGGTCCTCACTGGGTGCCCCATATTTTCGGCCTTGTGCTTCATCTAAGCTGCGCTTATAAAATTATTTGGGCACAACGAAAGGTGTAATACTTAAAAAGCTTGTTCAGACAGAACAATTACGACTGTGTAGTGAGTTCGGTCCTCACTGGGTGCCCCAGATTTTCGGCCTTGTGCTTCATCTAAGCTGCGCTTATAAAATTATTTGGGTACAACGACGTGGCGAATTAATTAGTAAGCTTGTACCGCTAGAACAATTAAGACTGACTAGTGGGTTCGATCCTCACTGAGTGCCCCAGATTTTCGGCCTTGTGATTCATCTAAGCTGCGCTTATAAAATTATTTGGGCACAACGACGTGGCGAATTAATTAGTAAGCTTGTACCGCTAGAACAATTAAGACTGACAAGTGGGTTCGATCCTCACTGGGTGTCCTATCCTTTCGGCCTTGTGCCACATCTAAGCTGCGTCTAGACAAACAGCATTTCAGACTAAAACGTATGCTTTGCCAGTTTATCTATTGCTTTTGGACGTATGGCAATCTAAATTAAACTGTTTTAATATATTTGCTCACAGAAATAAATAAATAAATAAATAAACAAATAAAAAAAATGTGTTTTATTTATTCATTTATTTTTATATTGATTAATGTTGGCACTGTCTGCTCTCTCTGACCGACTTTTTATTTTTCTTATCGATGATTAAAATCTCAGTTCAAAATACGCCGAAGACAAGGTTGAAGAAGGCCAACTACAACCGAAGCCCAATTAAATTTGATTCGAAGGAGAAAAAAAAAATAAAAAAAACATCAAGATACATCAGAGTCCGTATTGCTGTATATTGCATATCGCTCCCAGGGGCAAAAAATGGATGAGTAAAAACATCGCATAGTAAATAATATCAAATATACATAAAGAAAAAAAAGAAACAAAGAAATACAGTGTAGCTTAATCAAGGGAGAGAATACATGATAGCAACTGCAAGCAATGTAAAGAGGTTATACAAATGTCTTTGCCAGTATGAAACACTCGGCGGCAAGTATAAAAGCCTGAAGAATAACAAGGATATTTGTGTTAAAAACAAAATCCGGACATAATGCCAAATCAATTCCATAACACTATTTACATTATTCGGACTATTGTCCTCATCTTGACGCCATATTTATTACAACGTTCCATCCCTTCATTATCTGTTTATATTTCTGAGATGAGGTATTATGTACACTATTTACATTATTCGGACTATTGTCCTCATCTTTGTCGCCATATTTATTACAACGTTCCATCCCTTCAGTATCTGTTTATATTTCTGAGATGAGGTATTATGTACACTATTTACATTATTCGGACTATTGTCCTCATCTTGACGCCATATTTATTACAACGTTCCATCCCTTCAGTATCTGTTTATATTTCTGAGATGAGGTATTATGTACACTATTTACATTATTCGGACTATTGTCCTCATCTTGACGCCATATTTATTACAACGTTCCATCCCTTCAGTATCTGTTTATATTTCTGAGATGAGGTATTATGTACACTATTTACATTATTCGGACTATTGTCCTCATCTTGACGCCATATTTATTACAACGTTCCATCCCTTCAGTATCTGTTTATATTTCTGAGATGAGGTATTATGTACACTATTTACATTATTCGGACTATTGTCCTCATCTTGACGCCATATTTATTACAACGTTCCATCCCTTCAGTATCTGTTTATATTTCTGAGATGAGGTATTATGTACTATTTACATTATTCGGACTATTGTCCTCATCTTTGTCGCCATATTTATTACAACGTTCCATCCTTCATTATCTGTTTATATTTCTGAGATGAGGTATTATGTACACTATTTACATTATTCGGACTATTGTCCTCATCTTGACGCCATATTTATTACAACGTTCCATCCCTTCAGTATCTGTTTATATTTCTGAGATGAGGTATTATGTACACTATTTACATTATTCGGACTATTGTCCTCATCTTTGTCGCCATATTTATTACAACGTTCCATCCCTTCATTATCTGTTTATATTTCTGAGATGAGGTATTATGTACACTATTTACATTATTCGGACTATTGTCCTCATCTTGACGCCATATTTATAACAACGTTCCATCCCTTCAGTATCTGTTTATATTTCTGAGATGAGGTATTATGTACACTATTTACATTATTCGGACTATTGTCCTCATCTTGACGCCATATTTATTACAACGTTCCATCCCTTCAGTATCTGTTTATATTTCTGAGATCAGGTATTATGTACACTATTTACATTATTCGGACTATTGTCCTCATCTTGACGCCATATTTATTACAACGTTCCATCCCTTCAGTATCTGTTTATATTTCTGAGATGAGGTATTATGTACACTATTTACATTATTCGGACTATTGTCCTCATCTTGACGCCATATTTATTACAACGTTCCATCCCTTCAGTATCTGTTTATATTTCTGAGATGAGGTATTATGTACACTATTTACATTATTCGGACTATTGTCCTCATCTTGACGCCATATTTATTACAACGTTCCATCCCTTCAGTATCTGTTTATATTTCTGAGATGAGGTATTATGTACACTATTTACATTATTCGGACTATTGTCCTCATCTTGACGCCATATTTATTACAAGGTTCCATCCCTTCAGTATCTGTTTATATTTCTGAGATGAGGTATTATGTACACTATTTACATTATTCGGACTATTGTCCTCATCTTGACGCCATATTTATTACAACGATCCATCCCTTCATTATCTGTTTATATTTCTGAGATGAGGTATTATGTACACTATTTACATTATTCGGACTATTGTCCTCATCTTGACGCCATATTTATTACAACGTTCCATCCCTTCAGTATCTGTCTATATTTCTGAGATGAGGTATTATGTACACTATTTACATTATTCGGACTATTGTCCTCATCTTGACGCCATATTTATTACAACGTTCCATCCCTTCAGTATCTGTCTATATTTCTGAGATGAGGTATTATGTACACTATTTACATTATTCGGACTATTGTCCTCATTTTGACGCCATATTTATTACAACGTTCCATCCCTTCAGTATCTGTTTATATTTCTGAGATGAGGTATTATGTACACTATTTACATTATTCGGACTATTGTCCTCATCTTGACGAAATATTTATTACAACGTTCCATCCCTTCAGTATCTGTCTATATTTCTGAGATGAGGTATTATGTACACTATTTACATTATTCGGACTATTGTCCTCATCTTTGTCGCCATATTTATTACAACGTTTCGCCCCATCAGTATCTGTCTATATTTCTGAGATGAAGTATTATGTACACTATTTACATTATTCGGACTATTGTCCTCATCTTTGTCACCATATTTATTACAACGTTTCGGCCCATCAGTATCTGTCTATATTTCTGAGATGAGGTATTATGTACACTATTTACATTATTCTGACTATTGTCCTCATCTTTGTCACCATATTTATTACAACGTTTCGGCCCATCAGTATCTGTCTATATTTCTGAGATGAAGTATTATGTACACTATTTACATTATTCGGACTATTGTCCTCATCTTTGTCGCCATATTTATTACAACGTTTCGCCCCATCAGTATCTGTCTATATTTCTGAGATGAAGTATTATGTACACTATTTACATTATTCGGACTATTATCCTCATCTTTGTCACCATATTTATTACAACGTTTCGGCCCATCAGTATCTGTCTATATTTCTGAGATGAGGTATTATGTACACTATTTACATTATTCGGACTAGTGTCCTCATCTTTGTCACCATATTTATTACAAAGTTTCGGCCTTTCAGTATCTGTCTATATTTCTGAGATGAGGTATTATGTACACTATTTACATTATTCGGACTATTGTCCTCATCTTTGTCACCATATTTATTACAACGTTTCGGCCTTTCAGTATCTGTCTATATTTCTGAGATGAGATATTGTGTACATTATTTACATTATTCGGACTATTGTCCTCATCTTTGTTGCCATATATATTACAACGTTTCGGCCCATCAGTATCTGTCTATATTTCTGAGATGAGGTATTATGTACACTATTTACATTATTCTGACTATTGTCCTCATCTTTGTCGCCATATTTATTACAACGTTTCGCCCCATCAGTATCTGTCTATATTTCTGAGATGAAGTATTATGTACACTATTTACATTATTCGGACTATTGTCCTCATCTTTGTCACCATATTTATTACAACGTTTCGGCCCATCAGTATCTGTCTATATTTCTGAGATGAGGTATTATGTACACTATTTACATTATTCTGACTATTGTCCTCATCTTTGTCGCCATATTTATTACAACGTTTCGCCCCATCAGTATCTGTCTATATTTCTGAGATGCAGTATTATGTACACTATTTACATTATTCGGACTATTGTCCTCATCTTTGTAACCATATTTATTACAACGTTTCGGCCCATCAGTATCTGTCTATATTTCTGAGATGAGGTATTATGTACACTATTTACATTATTCGGACTAGTGTCCTCATCTTTGTCACCATATTTATTACAACGTTTCGGCCCATCAGTATCTGTCTATATTTCTGAGATGAGGTATTATGTACACTATTTACATTATTCGGACTATTGTCCTCATCTTTGTTACCATATTTATTACAACGTTTCGGCCCATCAGTATCTGTCTATATTTCTGAGATGAGGTATTATGTACACTATTTACATTATTCGGACTAGTGTCCTCATCTTTGTCACCATATTTATTACAACGTTTCGGCCTTTCAGTATCTGTCTATATTTCTGAGATGAGATATTGTGTACATTATTTACATTATTCGGACTATTGTCCTCATCTTTGTCACCATATTTATTACAACGTTTCGGCCTTTCAGTATCTGTCTATATTTCTGAGATGAAGTATTATGTACACTAGTTACATTATTCGGACTTTTGTCCTCATCTTTGTCGTCATATTTATTACAACGTTCCATTCCTTCAGTATCTGTCTATATTTCTGAGATGAGGTATTATGTACACTATTTACATTATTCGGACTATTGTCCTCATCTTTGTCACCATATTTATTACAACGTTTCGGCCCATCAGTATCTGTCTATATTTCTGAGATGAGGTATTATGTACACTATTTACATTATTCGGACTATTGTCCTGATCTTTGTTACCATATTTATTACAACGTTTCGGCCCTTCAGTATCTGTCTATATTTCTGAGATGAGATATTGTGTACATTATTTACATTATTCGGACTATTGTCCTCATCTTTGTAGCCATATATATTACAACGTTTCGGCCCTTCAGTATCTGTCTATATTTCTGAGATGAAGTATTATGTACACTATTTACATTATTCGGACTTTTGTCCTCATCTTTGTCGTCATATTTATTACAACGTTCCATCCCTTCAGTATCTGTCTATATTTCTGAGATGAGGTATTATGTACACTATTTACATTATTCGGACTATTGTCCTCATCTTTGTCACCATATTTATTACAACGTTTCGGCCTTTCAGTATCTGTCTATATTTCTGAGATGAGATATTGTGTACATTATTTACATTATTCGGACTATTGTCCTCATCTTTGTTGCCATATATATTACAACGTTTCGGCCCTTCAGTATCTGTCTATATTTCTGAGATAAGGTATTATGTACATTATTTACATTATTCGGACTATTGTCCTCATCTTTGTTGCCATATATATTACAACGTTTCGGCACTTCAGTATCTGTCTATATTTCTGAGATGAGGTATTATGTACATTATTTACATTATTCGGACTATTTTCCTCATCTTTGTTGCC